CCTCATTTCGTATTTGATTTTTTTTATTTTTTACAAATCTAAATCATATGAAATTTAAGGCGTTTATTCTTCTCATCAAGGTGCACTTGATAAAAATATATAAAAAAATAATTCATAAAATTTCTTTAACCAAAATACCCCTGAAAATTGTTAGATTCCTTGCAAATTATTATTGTTGAGATTTTTATAGATTCTCCAAATTTTAAAGAATACAAGTGTAAAATTTCGAGTTATTTGAATTTGTAGAAAAATAGTTAAAATTTAAATACAAAATAAGGTCGTGATTATCAGATCAGCTAAGATTCAACCTAAGTCGTTGGGTTCATATATTGATATGAGCATTACAACACTTCAAATTATAAAGGCTAAAAATAAAGAAAGTGGTTTAGGGTGAATTTATTAATTTTGAAGTCTATTTTTTAAAAAAAGTTACTTTTTTGATATCTTCAACACTAAGTAAGGGTAATTTTGTAAATATTACTACAAGACAAGGGGTACTTTTGTCTTCTCTATAAAGAGTAAAGTTGAAATTTTTACTAAAAGACAATGGCAATCTACAAGTAAAATTTGAGGACACTAACTTCCAAAATACCATTGTACTTTTATAAAAATTTCCTTGCTTAATGGTTAAGTTACATATTAAAAAAAAAATTTAAACAAATAATAATAATTTTTTTTTATAAATACACCAATCACAACCCTTTTTAATGATAAGGCACCTAATAAGTAAAGGTAATTTTGTAAATATTACTACAAAACAATGATACTTTTCTCATCTCCCAATATGATCACAATAATTGATGACATTTAAAGTTTTCCATAATGCATGGATAAATAAATAAATAAAAAGATGAGTGGATATACAATTTCTCAAGGTTGGCAAGGAATCTCCGCAAAATCTTTTCACAAGATTAACTTTACTGAATTCTAATTACTCAATTCTAATATTTTTTTTTTTGTATGATTTCCAATTGAGAAATGACACTATCATGCCCTCCCATACCCATGTGAGTAGCACCCAAAACGATCACCATTAAATTTGGCATAGATCTCTAGAAAATTTTTCACACGGGTGCAGAACTTGACTTTTTTAGAGATCTATGCCAAATTTGACGGCGATCATTTGGGGTCCTACTGACATGGGTATGGGAGGGTCCCATATGATCATTCTCTTTCCAATTACTCCATTGTAATATCTTATTTTTCTTTGTATGAATTCCAATCTCTTTTTTGTTCTATAACAAAGGGACATTTTCTCTGAAATAATAAAATAAATAAATAAAAACACATTTATCTCTCTTTCTAAAACTCATTTATTTCGATAACCTTTCTAGAACTCTATACTTTCCTAAAAAAATATGGCCTGGGTAACTGCATGTTTATCAAAAGTTTGACTTTTTAACTAAAAGATAATATCACTATGATAATCCTTCCTATTTTTCTCCATCTAAAAGATAACTCCTAACATTCTAAAATAAATATTTTTTATACCCCTCAAATCTCTACAACAAAAACATACAAAAAAAACCTTTAATAACTTTTTGCGTAAGTAATAAACTAAAAACCTTAATACTACCAAATCTAGAATCAAGAAAATATAAAAATTAAAAATTAAAAAAGCCCCGATTTTTATTTGCATCAACTACCCAATAAAAATTAGCACAAGTCTCTTTCAAAAGTTTCAAGCCTTCTAACAAAGCCGAACTTTCGGCTTAATGATTAAGTCACCTATTAAAAATAATTTATAAACAAAAAAGTAATAAATTTTTAATAAATACACCTATCACAACTTATTATAGTATTAACTTTTGTATTTTGAGGGGTTGTTAACTTTAGACAAACCCTCTAATATTAACTTTTGTATTTTGAGGCGTTGTTAACTCTAAACAAACCCTCTAATATTAACTTTAATATTTTGCGGGGTTGTTAACTCTAAACAAACTTTATATAACCGAGGAAAAAAAAGAAAAAGAGAAGATAAGACATTATTTTAAAGGGATAATCTAAACTTTACAACCCTTTAAATTAATAGAAAGAGTTGTGAAAGGTGGATTTATTAATTTTGTCATCTCTATAAAGGGTAAAGTTGAAATTTTAACTAAAAAACAAATACACTCTACAAATAAAGTTTCAGGATACTAATTTCTAAAATACCATCGTACTTTTGTGAAAATTTCAAATTTACTTTTGCTTGATGGTAAAATTACCTATTTAAATAAATTTTTAATAAAAAAATAATGATTGTTTTGATAAATCCACCCATCACAACCCCATCTAACTTAAACGTTTGTATTTTGAGGGGTTGTTAACTCCAGACCAACCCCATTTTAAATCTAATGAATAAATCTTTTTGGAATGGATTTGGCTGTTTTTGAAAGAAGAGTCTTATCTTTTTATTTTGGAAAAGTATATAATGAGGCCATTTACTTTTGGCACAAGGTAATCACAGTAAATATTGACCATTAGATACGAAATTTGGTGGTTGCATTTATTTCATTAATAAAGCTTAAAATTCAATTTTTTTTTTCAAATTTTGTGACACACCTCAGTTATCAGATTTCAAATTTTAGGTTTCACATCGAATGGTTGTAAGTAATTGTAACCTTTTTATTCCAAAAGTAAACAGTCTTATTGTATACAATCCCTTTTATTTTTATATTTTATTTATCTAGATTATTTATTTTCTCTCCCATTTTCCATACAAATTGATAAGAGCAGCTCTATGCACCAATAAACCAATCACTGCTAATTCTAATTGATATTTTGTATTTTCAAATTGGGAAAGTCTTCCATTTAAATCATTGGGAGAGTTGGAAGTTGGAACGGTGCATACCCTCTCCAATAGTTCAGATTAAACAAACCTACATCCAACGGCTGAAAATAGTTTTATTTTTTATTTAAATGGGAAGCCCAAAACAGCCGACTCGAGGGCACCCTTAATTACTTCGGACACACCACCCGAGTCGGACCTTGATGGCCGATTCTTTGATCAGTTATGCGGGTCCATATTTTCAAACGCTCCTTTCCGCACGGGAGGGAATGGGCGATGTGCTACCGCGCGGGAGCCTCTAATCTTTTTCGGCTGACGAAGAGTATCCAAAGTCCAGCACAACGAACAGGGGTTTATCGCAAATTACACCTACACACGAGGACAAATTCGTCATTTGTAATGGATCTCAACGGGGTATGCAGTAACGTCGCGTTTTCATGTGCGTTTTGGCCATGCGTCATAGAGACTTTACTTTTTACTCTTTACCCCTTCGTCTTCCGTTTTATCCTTTAATTTTTTTGGATTACCGCCTCATCAACGAACGGAATTCATATGTATGCAGATTTCCCTCTTTTCTAAAGCCGAAGTTCTTTCAATTTATTTCTCTCTTCCTTCTCTCTCTCTAAAAAACCAGGCTGCTCCTCGCTCTTATCGACTCTCTCTTTCTTCTGCAACCCTAACCCTAATTCTAAGGCTAATCTTCTCCATTGAATTGCCTCTCTGCGTGTACTCTAATTTAATCAATTGATTCAGGTGATAGAGGTTTCGCCATTCCCAGATAGCTTGTTCTCTGGTCGCCTCTAATAAATCGCCATTAACGAGGATTTATTTATTCTCTAAAACTTATTTTTGGTGCTTTCGGTAAGTTTCTTCTGCTGAACCTTTGGAGAATCTGTATTATGAATATTCTTCTTCGATCAGCTCCTTTGAGGAAGGGCCATTAACAAGGATGTCTTCTTCGCAGGATTTGTGTTTTTGATAAGCTTCTTACTTTTTCCATTGAAACCTCGAAGAAGCCATGAACTCGGTGGTGAAGCAGGAGTTTATAAAGCCGGACCCCTATACTATTGGTGATTTAAGTCTCAGAGATGTTCCTGTCATTGATCTTAGTAGTAGTGATAGTGAAACGGATGATTTTTCTGGTGATTCTAGAACCAAGAGATCAAAACATTCTGGTGAATATAATGGGGGGCTTGGGGATGATGATCATGGTGTCTTATTACCAGCTGGTTTTCTGGATCCTCTCCCCCCTCTTACTGTTTCTTATGCTGAGCCTATATCTGTTGTGGCTCCTCTGCCCCCTGCTGTTGTGCGAGAGTCCAATTCTCACCCTCGAACTCAGAGTTGCAAGCAATTTTGGAAGGCAGGGGACTATGAGGGGAGCCCTGCTTTGAGCTCGAATGTTCCTGGTAGGTCTTTTGTATTTATTTGTTTGCTGATTAATAGTCTGATGCATCTAGATTTTTCGATCAAATTGTTTCAGATTATGGCGCTGTTTAGTTTCAATGTCTTTGTTGTATTTCATGGCATCACAATCTTTTGCATGCGTATGTAAATGTTAGTGTTGGTGTTTGGCATTTTAATGGTAGTTTCTTGGGCATTGTTTGGTTTCCCTTGCCTTGCAGTTTTCCATTGTGATATAATTTTTTCATTCATTGTCAAACATTAATTTTATTGGTGTTTTGGGCTTGTTACCTATTCTGGTTATGCCTTTGACATCAGAAACTAGGCTTGGTTGCTATGTGAATATTCCAAGATCAATCTTCAATTTTCTTTGTGTGGATGTATAATGTGTTTGAGGAAACGGCTGCCTCAGGAGGCCTCACCATAGTGCACAGGCCCAGACGGGTTTATTATTATTTTTTCTTGTTTGGTTTTTGTTCTTATATTTCTTTTTCAAATTTATGAGTTAGAAACTTTGGATTTGTGGTCCATAATCAAGAATGGATTTTAGATTGTGCTTAATGGCATTTTACTAAGATTTGGTAACCCAATATTAGCATATAATGTCAACAGACTTAATCCAAATGGATATTTCTAGTTTAGTGGTCTTAAATTTGTTTCTCAATTGAAATGAGAATCTTTGATTTCATGTTTTACTAATTATTTCTCAAGGTTTGTTAACTTTAATGTTTCAAATTTCCAGGGTCTTAGACTATAATTTCTCTATTCATATATCTGAAAAAATGGTTTCTTACATGCCAAGATCAATTTGGGGAATAATTTCTCTATTTGAATTTCAATTTTTTTTATTCAAAATTTTTTTGGAGAATTTGGTTTCCAACCCAACCCCTCAAACAAAATTTATGGGGTGTGGAACCCGATCTTTGTGGATGGGCTAGGGAACTAGGTACCCGGCAAGCCACCATGGCGGTCTGCACCCTTGGCTGCCTAGGTGGCCGAATCCAAGTTTTACAACATTGGATGTATAGGATATGTGGAATTTAAGGAGAGAATGTTCTCGTATGCTTGTAATTGGCTTTGAATGCTCTCATATTTGTTGTTCATTTCACAGAACAACTCAAATATATTTGTTCTTCTAGTTGCTTTAGATAAAGGGCAATGCTCACCCCATGGGGTACCATAATACTGAGAGTTTGGCGCTTCATGGTGGCTTGCAATACTTTGATCAAGTTGATACTTGAGGGCCTGTTTGGATTACAGTTAATGTTCTCTGGAATATGCTATCTTATCTAAACATAATATACTCTGGATAGTATTTTTTTTGCTAGCTGTTTGGTATGCATCTTAAGATTACAATTATTAAATATTCTTTGATATTTCCTCCACTTTTGGTAGACATAGGAGTCAGGTAATTAACATGGTAGTGCTGAGATAAGGTGACATGAAATGACCAATAGAGGCTAGAGGCTAATTAGCTGCTCACTTCTCATACTTAGGGTTGGTCTCATTTCTTATCTGCCTATCTGGTACAAAAATATTCCCATTAAACCCAGTTTGTGCCGTCTGTTCAAAAACAAAGTTAAAACTTGTGATCATAGAGGATTTTGTTTCTCACCATACCATTCAAGGGGTACCAAGGGAGATGATATGGAGGATCTGAAAAAATATGCTGGAAGAAAAGATATCACCCCCAAGAGATGAAAGATAAAGATTAATATAGGAACGATGGCAATACAAATTCCCAATTGACCTTTGGGTGAGAGAGCATGCACAACGAGATATTAAATGTACATAGATCAAATAAAAAAAGACACTTGCAGTAACGACCTTTGTAAAGTTTATATCACAGAAAATATGTCTCACCTCTTGTAAATTTCCTTGTATTAATACAAGTGGCTACCCTCACAAACCCACAGATGTTTTAATTGTGAAATTATTTTGGTAGGCGTTTATCTTCTGGTTGGGAAATATGGCAAGTCTCCTAAACTTCTCCATTAGTGCTTACTGAATTTTTAATGCTTTTTCTGTTGTTCTTCACATGCTTGTGCTTTGTTTCTCTTCAAAGAACTTCATTCATCCAATTATTTTCATGCTTTTTATATTTGCTCCCAGTATTTGTGCAGATGCCGTTGTAACATGCAGTATGCATCAGTTACTAAATTGAGAAAAAATAATTAATGAATAAAATCTTAGGATTGACAAGTTCTAAAAGCAGTTATTATTGAACAAAAAAGCATGTTTGTCACTCAAAGTCTTTTGTTTGTACTAGACATGCTCTGGCTTCCTGGAAAAGTTTCTTCTCATTGATATACTGAGAAATAGAGTAGTCTGTCAAAATTCTGTCTGCATTTATGTTTATATCTGAGAACCTTAATTCCTTGATACATGCATGCTATTCTTTTTAGCAAACTGTTTAGAAGGGTTGTTAATCCAAGAAGTAGCCAATTAACCATGACTTATGGCATTCTCTTGTCATGTGGATATAAGATGTTGTATTCATTATTTTACATCATTTTTATTTGAGTTCTCAATGTGACCTCACCATATATGGTTACAAGTTTGAAGTAGACCGTGTATGCTTAGGAAGGTGAGCTATTTTCAAAATTCATTTGTATGTTTCTTTTAAATTTTGAACTGAATAGAAATACACTGAGATTCTTTGATTTCATATGATCTCTATATCATTGAGTTTGAGAGCCTATTGTGGTCATTGCATCGTGAGTTGGTTAAATGACGAAATAAGAGTTATATTTTGTATTTTGAAATGTCAGCATATTAAAAAGAAAAGAAAAGAGAGAGTTGCATTTTGAGGAATCTGGTTTGGGCTTGATTGGTTAGTTATTGAGGTTGCAACTCTCTATCCCAAGTTTGATCTCCTACTGCTGAATTACCCAAAGAAGATGAGTTGTATTGTGAATTGGTTTGCCATGTTATATCAGTTGGGATGGTTCATGCATTTTATGGTTTTCAAATTTTATGATTTTACATTGTTTCTCTTTCCTGCCTTGATGTTCATCATGTGTGCCTTATGCTTCTTTAATTTTCAGTTGGTAGCATGGACCACGTTAGGGTCCACCCCAAGTTTCTACATTCAAATGCAACCAGTCATAAGTGGGCCTTGGGAGGTAAATTTTTTTATTTGCCTATGAAATGATGATATGGCTGTCTCTTTTGGCATGTTTATCTTTTTATATTCTTCAAGCATGGTACGTTGACCATTTTGAGCAAAATATGATTCACTTTCCTTATGTACAGCTTTTGCAGAGCTGTTGGACAATGCTCTGGATGAGGTATCTACCCTGGCATCTATTTGGAATCATTTGGTTGACCTCTTTCTTAATGACTTTCTGATCTTTCCTTTTTCTTTCCTCAGGTTTGCAATGGAGCAACTTATGTTAACATAGACATGCTTACGAATAAGAAAGATGGGTCCAGAATGTTGTTGATTGAAGGTACTTTGTTGCAGTTTCATTATCATTATTGTTTGCTAAATGATTGTTTCATTTTATTTGGTCTGCGGAAGTTGTTGTATTTATTGGAAGGAGGAAGAAAACGGGATTACATATTTTGTTGTAAGGTTTAAAATCCTTCTAATAAATAATTGGAAATAAATGGATCTGTGTTGATATGACAGTCATGTTGATTGTAGAATCTGTGTGATTTAAGTGTTTGGTAACTGATTTAACAACATTTGCTTACTGATTTGACAACGAACCTTCTCCTTCCTGCTTGGTATTTACCGTCTTTACATCCCTGTGCTGCCCTCCTTACTCCAGTTTCATGCTTTCTTTCCTGCTATCTATGAATTCAAAGACCTGTGCTCCAGTCTTGTGGCAGGCATTATGACATTATGCAAGTTTCTATTTCCACTCATATAATTGCTTCTCCATTACCATGCTTATGAATATTCTTTTTTTTATTGCTATGCTCTATATTCTTTTAGGAGAAGCTGATTTTTAAATGTATATTCTAACCATGGTTCAAGGAGTTATGTATTATTGCCACTGTCTTTATGCCCATTAAATTAATCTTGTTTGGCCTATGCAGACAATGGTGGTGGGATGACTCCAGATAAACTGCGAGCCTGCATGTCACTCGGGTATTCAGCAAAGAGCAAATTAGCAAATACTATTGGACAATGTGAGTAGTTAACAGTAATAAAGAATGGTAGCATGTTAAGCATCATTTATTGTGAGTAGTTATAGAACACATGAGTAGTTATAGAACACAATAATAAAGCTAATGTTCTCTTTCTTTTGCTATTTGTGGTTTTGGTTATATAGATGGAAATGGTTTCAAGACAAGTACCATGAGGCTTGGAGCAGATGTTGTAGTGTTCTCTCGTTCTCGTGGAAAAGATGGAACAAGGTTAGTCAAAAATCTTTGCATGATATATGTATATCTTGGATTTCTCTTCGAGTGCAGCTCCCTTTGGACATTTTAGAAGTTCTCTTGCGACCCTGGCTTTTTAAATGATGCTAAATTAATATTCTGATGTGACATTATGTAGATGGGATCTTTGGGTTTTGTGCTGCCATTTCTGCATATCCCTTTGAACCCAGGTGTTGGGATAGTTAGGTTGAGAGTATTTTCATCTTTTAGTGTTCTCATTCTATAGTTTAAAAAATCCTTCTTTTGTAGGAATGCTTACAACTTATAAGCAAACTGTCAACTGCTTCATTGTTATAGAATTTTATTCACATGTAGATCTGAATGAATCCAAACAGGCTTATAAGCAACCACTTAACTGTTTCTGACTAAAACAGGCTTTTTTCCTGTAAATGTTTTCTATTTAAATAAATTGTATGTCGACTCTAAATGGCCTATCAATGGTTTTCATCTCATGAAGCAAACTCTCTACTTCTTCGTTTGCATAGAATTGTATTCACTTGTAGGATCTACATGAATCCACTTGTAAATGGGACTTCCTTATGTTTACATTCTTCTGAGAGAACCTTACATATTAATTGGAAACAAATTTGATATTTGGCTCCTAAATGACTAAAGCTACTGTACAACTGAAACATTCTAGCTACATCTTAAGAAGGAAAAAGTTTATATAAGGCTGCAATCTTACTTCTAGAAGTAAGATTGCGGTGTTCCACATTCCATTTAGTTGGATGACATATATTGGCATGTACTCTAAGACTATGTCAAATTTTGATAGCATTAAAAGATGTGTGAAAACTAAACCTTTCAACTGAAAGGGATGGTGCAGATTACTGCAGCCAAACTTCTACAAGTACGGTTGCTGCCTTGTATAAACCACAATGTTATAAATGGGTGGTATCCCAAAGTTATTGTTATATATGCCCTTTAGTCGGTAACTATATAGTAACTACAATACGTAATCACACGTCTACATATGCATAACCTGGATGCTTGTTCCTGCATAGACACTCAAAGTACACAAGCATTTACATGTATGTGCATTTATTTATGCACACTTTATCATGTGCAAAATGTTTTCTAGATCCTGGTTGGCATAGGCTGTGCCTTGAGGGTTGGCAACATGGCCCTAAATCTCTTAATATCAACCTCTTAGTTTTGGTAATTCTAACTTCTTGTGCAATAAATTGTTGAATTTTGGGAAAATGTCCCCCCCCCCCCGGTTGTATTTGACATTTGATTCTATGGGGCCATATTTCTTCCTGAGTTTAATTGCTTATTTCTTGTTAGATATTGATATTCCTTCTTCTGTATTTTGCAGTTCCACACAGAGCATTGGCATGTTGTCCTATACTTTTTTGCGGAGCACTGGTCATGAAGATATTGTGGTTCCTATGGTGAGATACTCTTGCGGCATTTTTTTGACTTGGGAAGTTTCCTCAAGGAGATGTTTTTTTTAGTAATATAAGGTCTCAAAATATGCTACCAGATGAAATTTATGTCATGATAATGGTTTTAGATTTATAATCGTAGTTTTTGGGAGTGGGAGCTGGACCTTGGATTGACCCATGGCTGAAGCTCCCTACCTTGGAAGTGCCTGGGAGTGCTGTTCAAGGAAGGGCCTTAAAGCAGCCTAATATATGGTAGCATCGGGGAAGCACCCCTTATTTTGAGCGAGTGTGAACAATTGTTTCATACGAGCTGGACCGCATTTGTACAACATGCGGTCCAGAGGTATAAAGCATCCATCTTAAATATGGATGCAAATAGGTGGTCCATGTAAAAACAATTGAAACCAACGGTCCAAATGTTTTCTTAATAGAATTATTATTTATAGTTTTCAAAATTTATTTATTTTTTCATATTCATGATCTCCATGTTATATATTCTCTAAAAATTAGGATTGAATTCTATTTCAAAAATAAATTTATTAAGGGCCGGCATTTCTACATGTGCCGGTCTGGCCTCATGCTAACCCCGTCCTATTCTGAAAGTGATTTTTTAAATGTAAGCCACTGTTTTAATATTATCCATTCACATGTGTGAACTTTGTAACCTGAAAGTCCCATTAAAAATTGAGATAAACAAGATTGTAGGGCCACGATAAGAACTGAACTTAGGAATTGCCTGAGTCTCTATTGTGAACCGGGGCGCTTCACTTTAATGAACCACCTGATTTGGACAACCGAGGTGAAGCCTTCAACCATTGATGCAAATAGTGATATAGAAAAAGATTTGCACAAAATCAAAGACCCCAGGTTCAAAACTAATTTTTTTTTTGAAATCTCCCCCTGGGATAGGTATCTCTTCATACCAGGCTGCACCCCCATTTTCAATGGGGTCACAATCCCCCATCCATAGGGATCTAGATTCCTTTTAGTCAGGTATCAAGATCCCTTGATGGGGGAGCGAGCTCCGGCTTGGGGATCATTGGATCAAGATTCCAATGGGGGATTGCCACCCCCTAATAAGCTCCCCGTATCCATGTTTATAATATGGTCACCGAAAGTTTAAACTCATCCCATGATTATTGTTAACGTTTCATTGTTTACGGTTACAACTAATTTTAAGTAGTATATTGTCAAGTGGTTTTTTTATGCAAATGTATAATTGTTAGAAATTTGTTGGTGTTTATTGTAAAGTGAGTTTCTATGCAAATGTATAATTGTTAACAATTCATTGTTGTTCTTTGTACTGAAATAAAAAGATCGATTATGAGAAAGGAATTGGGGGTTGGAGCATGCTGGTTCGATCATCTGCAGATGACTGGAAAAGAAACATGGAAACTATTGTACAGTGGTCTCCATATTTAAGTGAAGTAGATCTTCTGCATCAGGTGCCTTGCCTTTTAATCTGATAATGGGAATATCATTTTAATATGTGCATATTTGTCGTTAGGGGCCTTTTGCTGTTTAAACTGATGCTAAGTGTCTCTTTCTTCATGGTTGCTTTAAAAAATGACCTGTTTGATGTCTTAACTCTTAACATACCCTTTTTCTTTTAATTATTATATTTTCCATAATATTTTGGGACCCTTTTCTCCTTTCTTATAGCATAATAGATGCACTAAATAATTGATTGACTTCCTTTACCCTGAATATGCAAATCGTTTCTTATTATTTGGAAGCGAGTTGGCTGTAGAATGTAAACATACGGAACTATAAATCACTATTAGGAATATAATGCCTATAAACACAAGATGGCAAATGCGAATCATCATTTGTGTTGACGGTAAAATTTTGTATGTAAATCCTGTTAGAAGTTCTGATTTCCTGGACTCTGTACTTTAACATTTTATATTTATTAAATAGTTCATTCTCTAAAACCACAAGCACAGGATGCATCTTTATTTAATTTTCAGGGCCCATGCTTTCTTTTCCCCTGTTGTAAGCTTCTCACTGTTCCCACACGTGAAGTCATGGCCAACTGGGCTTCTTAGAATCTGGGGTTTCTGTTTATATTTTTATGACCATCCATTATGAGATGTAACATTACAGGGTTTTGTTTATTACTTTCTTTTTACTTTGAGGACTACTTCTTTCCATGCTGCTTATCAGATTTTTGTTAAATACACTTACGAGTCATTTATGTGTTTCATTTTTCAGTTTAATTCTCTGAAAAACCAAGGTACACGCATAATCATATACAATATTTGGGAGGATGATCAAGGAGAACTAGAACTGGATTTCGATGAAGACCCACATGTGAGTGTTTATGTTCACCTCTTTTTTGGCTACATAAATGTGTTCCATGATCTGTAGGTGAAACTTTGGAAGCCAGATTCTTGTTGAAATAGAGTGGAATCTTTAAATTTTGAACATGAATCATATGGAAATTACGAACCTAGGAAGTTGGAGCCCCCCATCCCCAAAAGAAAAGGAGAATTTGGCACCAAGGACAAACTTTTTTGTTTTCAGTGAGGTGGTTCAGTAATTATTCAACCAGGAGAAGATGAGCTTGCCCAGTTCTTCTGTGCTTGCATCCCATGGTTTGCTTAGATACCTATCTCTGTGGTTGATAGCATGTTAATTAAGCAGACAGATTCTGATTTATTAAAGTTCCTTCATATGCATTATGGCATCACTTTGTGCTTAGGGTTGACAGATGTGTTAGCTTCGTCTTAGTTTGAAGGCCTACCTGGATGTTATGTAGTTAAACTTAATTCAAGCACAATCCAATCCTAATTCATTTAATAGAAAACGGCTCAAACTCTTGATTTGTTGTTGAGATTCCAATGGTCGTCAGAATATTGGGCTCATGTATTTGTGCTCATTGAGTGTTAACATTGTTGTTGTACTTGCAGGATATTCAAATTAGAGGTGTCAACCGAGATGATAAGAAGATACAGATGGCAAAACATTTCCCCAACTCCAGGCATTTCCTTACATATCGACATTCATTAAGGGTATCTTCTCCAATTTGATTAGTTTTTTCCTCTTTAATAAGAAATTGACATAACAATCAATTTATATTTGTATGTTCAACACTATTTTTTTGAAATGGTTATAATTTTTTCCAATTTTCAATTTTTTTGGATTTTGTAGCTGCTGATGAGATTTGCAGAACTTGTGACATCTATAGTTGTTCTCTTTGCTATTCTGAAGAAATTTCTAATACATCCTATAACTTATAATTTTGAAGCCTTAGGATTGGTTTTTTTGTTGTATATAAACTGATTCTTTCAGATTGTATAGTGTGGAAAACTCAGACATGGTGATCAACTCATTCCCTGTAAAAACGGAGTTGACTCTCTGTGTCCATCAATCAACTCAAGAAAACTCTAGGCGAGTTCCTCAAAATGCTTTTGTGAACACACAAAAGAACCAAAGTTCTATCTGATGGGCTTTTAACCCTGCTGATCTACATGTCAAAACAGAATTGCCACTGGTTTGGACTTTGCAGCCCAGTGATGAAATACTGCAAATACGAGAGTATTGCATTTATAAAATGTGGCAACTAGCCAAATCGCATTGACTCGGCTAGGAAGGTTTTTTAGTCAATGGATGATACCATATATTTCTTATTTGTAATCCTTAGAAGCTGGTTGATTCATTCTGATAATGAGTTTCAGTTGTAGGTTGCTTAAGTAGTCTGTGGACCATTGGTATGTTCACTACAAGTTCCCCCCATTAGATTTGTCTGCTTCTCTGGTTTCTTTGGGAAGCCGTTGACAATTTCATCCTTCATTCCATTCTAGTTTTATTTGGTTTTTGTACATGAAATGCTGTATTGTACATGCTGTTATTATAATTCTTAAGTTTGTCATCGGTTACTTTAATTACATGTACGTGCATTAGTTGCATTCAGGACTTTGAAAAGAATGTTGTAATACTTGCTTCATTTGGTGCTATTTGAATCTGGACTCATACTGTTTGTCTGGCAACTTCTTTCTTTATATATCTGATTTGAATATTTCCTGCCTAATTGTTTGCAGAGCTATGCATCTATTCTTTATTTAAGACTTCCACCGAGATTCCGAATGATTTTGCGTGGCAAAGATGTGGGTCACCACAACTTATTGGATGATATGATGTTAACGCAAGAGGTCACTTACAGACCACAGCCAGGCGCGGATGGTATTCCAAAGGATTTTAATGTAATACACCACTTTGTTTTTTCAATTTTATTTTCTCGCATGTTTATTGATGTAGTATTCTAGGGAAGTTGTGGTAGTTTTGGACAACCTATTCTTTTTGTTATTGGAATTTGGTTGATCAGTTATGTGTAATGTATTCATGTTGCTCAGCATCCTACTTCTCTTGTTGGCATAATTAGAACAAAGGGTTTATGCCCATTAAATGAGAAACACACTTGAGATTCTGCTTCTAAAGTAAGCAAATTTATAAAGCTGCTTTTAATTGTTACTATTAATCGCTTCATGGATTGACATGCCTAGATGTGTTGGAACATATGATCTTCACAAATAACTTTGTTGCCTGGCCTGCTTTCTTCTGAATTGTGGCAATTAGTGCTGTGTTTCATGTCATTCTAGCTTGAGTGATAAGACTACATGTGTTATGTGGTTGGAAGGCAAGTTTATCTTATTGTGATTTATAGGATCTCTCTTTGTCATGAATTAAGAACTTCAGAAGACCCGGTTCAAATACTATATTATGTCCCCATATCTTCCAGATTAATCGAATGAGCAACCATAATTTTATCTGTTTCGATTTTGCATGCGGTTCTGCAATAATTGTCCTGTGCTTACAACCTTTTTGTTGGTTTTCTCAGATGGTTGCTATAGTCAAAATTGGCTTTGTGAAGGATGCAAAAGATCATATTGATGTTCAAGGATTCAATGTTTATCACAAGAATCGGCTTATCAAGGTATCTTTTATTATCAATGATTTGCATTGGAATGTCCTGCTAAAATTGTCATACAAGCATGATCTTGTTCTGAAAATTTGAACCATCAAGAAGAAAAAAAAAATGGTCTGACTTTGCTCTATGGCCCAGCATGCCATGTGGATTGCAAGTTCTTTTTCCTTGTTTGAATGGATATGTGAAGGAGTTTCAACCGTAGGCCATAGAATAGCATGAGGACATTTCTTCCTTAATTTTAAATCCAATTTAAATTGGAAACTGCCTTAAATTTATATCCAATTTAAATTGAAAACTGCCTTAATTTTCAGTCCAACCAAGAGTCTTAGCATGAGGAAATCTCTACTTCTAGTTAAATAAATAAATTCGATTGAGGTTTAGAACAGTGGGGATCTTGGAGCAGTCCTTAAACTGTTGTACATGGGGGTGATAAAAAAAGGTTGCAATTTAGATTGGAAGAAGCATCTTATACATTTTTCTTGTAATTGATAGTTAATGCTTATCCATTTCGCGTACAATTGCCTCAATTGAAGTTTACTACACCATTCTCAAGACCAGGCTTTTGGGGTATTAAATATTTCTTGTACTACCTATCCCTAGTGTAGTGCCATGCTCCAGGTTGGTTACACACCTTGAGTACGCATCTATATAAATAGCTACATAATGTCATCTTAGTGGAACAGAGGTTTGTTTTAGGCTTTTAGGGCCTGCTTGGATGGCATTTAATTATATCTGAAATTCTATCTTATCTAAAATTTATATACTCTGGGTAGTATTATTTTATTAGTTGGTTGGTGTACATCTTGTATTATGTATGATGTAATTAACTATTGAACTCTTTGGCAACTTCCAACAATGTTTATCTATTCCTGGCCAAAAATATGTGATTTGAGCAAATTATTTTGTATAAAGTAAAACACTTTTCAAAAAATTGAACTTATGCACAAAACTGCCTATTCATTTACCTCAGGTAATTTTATGATGGATACTGCCGAACAACAGATAATTCATTAGCAGGAATGATTTTATTGAAATAATGAATTTAGTGATAAGGAGTACCCGCATACAGGCCCTTAGTGAATGCAGATTAGACCACATGCATCAGACATTATGCTTGTTATGCATAACGAATAATTAAATATTTTAAGAGTCTTCATTGTGCTCTTGTATTATGACAATATGGAGTCAAATACCTTGGAGTAGGATCATGTTGATTATCATAAATTTATGGTATATCATCATCATTGTCCGAGCCTTTTCCCAACTACTTGGGGTCAGCTACATGAGTCCTGGTCTGCCAATTCCGGATTCATGTAAAGTTTTGACAAAGTTTTGGGTTAGCTGCCTACCTAATACAGCCCACCTCCTTTACCTGGGCTTGAGACGGGTTAAGGAAAAGTTTAAGGTTTTAATCCCAATAAATTAATGGTATATGCTTAGTTTTATTCTGGACATGCAAGTGTCTTTTCAAGTTTTGAGGCTTGGAGTTCCTCATGAAAACCAGGAGGTGTCACCACTGAACTGAAGCCGATAAGACTTATGCAAACTATTTCTCCAATGATATACTGACAGAAATATTTATTTATTTTGGTGGCATACCTATAGTTGTTGAAAGTGCCAGATGGCCTGAGGCCGAACATGGGGATCCCTTGGGAGGCATGAGATAGAAAGTGCGGTGGGACAGCATGGTAGGTTTGAGCAAACCATCAATAGAACATTTGTAAATTTGAGAATTTGGACATTGTGATTCCAAAGGTTATTTCCCAAGAAATGAGTTTTGCTTGTACTTGCATGTCTATGTGTCACAACATAAATGATATTAGGATATGAAAATTCGTATATCCATGCAGTCCTCGCTGATTCTCTGTCTACCTTTGTGCCATATCTTGAGAGCGTGATTCCGGGAACTGGTGTGCACATTGCTGACAGGCATACCATGAATAGATTGGATATGTATAGTTAGGCTGCGTTCAGAAGGCACATTCAGTGCAACCCAATATGCCTAAGAATGTGTTGGCAGTGAATGGGGTATGGTTTGCCATGCTTTTTTGCTATCGAGCAGACATAAATCGCCACTAGTCAGCGGTGTTTCCTATGCAATTGCAAAGGTTCTCCCACCCAATTTTATCCTTATTGTGTGGCTTGCCAAGGGGTGCTGCAGCTATTGCATTAGAGATTTTGATGTGTTGCACTCACAAACCCAGCTTAGTATCTGCATGTTTATCAACTAGTACTTGTACAGCAAACCTATTATACCCATGTTTATGATCTGGCACTTTAACACATTTGCTTTATTAAGAATAACACATTTGCTTTATTAAGAATTTGATTTTTCCAGACTTAATCTTCTATAATTGAGTTCTCCAGTTTAATGTGTTCAGGTTTGCAAGGTTATCTATTTGAATGGGATTCTGAATATATGTTGATGAATCAAAATCTTTCTAGAAACCTTTGGAAGGTGTTTGGTGTGGCTAGTTTCAATTGTTATGCATTTTCTGTAGTTCTTTATCTCCTTTCTTTTAAACTGACAAAAATTTGACTTCCTCTTTGGCTACTTGTTAGAATGTTGATCAAATATGGCTAGAGTTGTTTCTGGTGGGTAATGTTGTAAAAATTCATGGCTACTTTAATGCATGACGTATGGTTCTGAACTATTTGATGATTTTATTAACTTCTTATCAGCCATTTTGGAGGGTCTGGAATGCAGCTGGAAGTGATGGACGTGGTGTGATTGGTAATATTCTAACTTGGTTTGACTTAAATGAAAAAGATCTTTTACTTTTCAGAACTTGTTCACCAACAATCTTTGGTGCTAAGTTTATCTTGCATGGCTTTATACTGCAGGGGTCTTGGAGGCCAATTTTGTGGAACCTGCTCATGATAAACAGGGTTTCGAACGCACAACTGTGCTTTCTAGACTTGAGGCACGTCTTGTTCAGATGCAGAAGCATTATTGGTATGTTTTGGTATCTGTATTTGGTTTGATTGTTTGCTTTTGGATTAATGGAAGTAGTTCCATAAACACATCAAATCTTCCTTGTCTTTTTTACAGGTCATCCAATTGCCACTTAGTTGGTTATGCTCCCAGGCGTAACAAGAAGCTTGTCAATGGATCGTCATCACATAAAGGTACACCATTATCTTGCAATTAGAATTTCCATAGGGGTAACCAGTGATTAAAAGATCAGATTGGATTGGCCATTTTTCCAGGTTCGAACTGGAACCAGTGGGGAACCAATAAAAGTCCCCCACGGAATCAGGGCTTGGACCATCTCCCTATAAATTTTTTTTGTTTTAGAGTATTAATGTCATGTAAATCTTGTTTCTATAGTGATTTGAGATATATAGACATTGTAACAAGTAGCCAAAAAGGAAGTAGTGGGTGATAGGGTCAACCTACCGGTCCAAAATTTTAAACACTGAGAGTAACATTTAATTTGCTACAACTTTTCTTGCATGCAATGGTTTAGAAAATTGCCGCTTATGGAAGAGTCGATGATATTCTTATAATTTGCTTCTTGTAGGCCTTCAAACTGTAAATAGGTTGTCTTTTTCCACTTTTGGGATTATGTGTTGAAAAATTTGTCCTATTTCCTATGCCTGAGCAATGACGTTTTTCTGCAAATTGCTAGGTTGACTGATGCCAATGTTGCACCTGCTTTTCTGTCCCTGATGCCTTCATCTAACTGAGTGTCCATTCTATTTTTTAACTCGAAATTGGATTTCCTGAAGTTTTATGAATATTGGATAATTTGATGTCAAATGTGTTAGTTAATGGACACTTATTAAATGGTTTCAGGGATGAATGGAAATGCACATGGTCCGTCTTTCTCTTCTGGAAAGAAAAAGCCTGTGAGGCATAAGAGCAGAAGTTCTGAATTATCTTCTGAATCTTCTGATTCAGAAGGGCAGCCTGATGTTTCAGGTTCCATGGATAAAGTGGGAACCCAAAGAAGGTCCCCGACAATAGACCCTAAAACTGGGAAAATTGCTTCTCAAAGCATGCATAAGCAATCTTCAGAGCCACGATCAAAGACACCTGCACGACCACAACCTTCAAAGGTAGAGAGAGTTCATAAGACGCCTGAGAGAATTGGTGGCACACATTCTTCCCATGTAAAGGAATCCTCTTCTATAAAATCAACTCATAAAGGAAAACCCTCTCCAAGCTTAGATAATGGTCAAATAGTGGAATTTGATACTCCATCTGGAAGAAATGATGCGGTTGTTACAGGAGCACAGTCCTCAAAGGTATCTTCAGCATGAATTTTTGGGGAAATCTTTAGGATCTTGAAAAGAAAAACAGAATCAGAAATTTTTTTGGAATTATTACCTGGGATTGTTGTTTAGTCAGTAATTTGGTTATTGCTAATTCTGGCATACGTTATTCAAAGAGTATGGTGTGATCCTTTGGCTTAGGGCCATGGAGCATGTCAACTCAACCCCTAAATCGAGTGGCTGAATTCCATGATTACCAAGAAAAATGGCCTACTGGTTAAATCTCACATGAGTTTTATAAAACTCCGTCAGCAAATAATTTGTTCCATTTTCTCCCAAAAACACCTTTATTTGCATCTGTTTGTGGATTTGGATATTGTACATTAATAGATTTGTGAACTTAATACCTATTCCAAGTTCTTGACAACCATTAGGGCAGTTATCCTTGATTGTGTTTCCTGGATGAATAATATGGATTTTTCTTTCAGGAAAATATCTAATGGACCTTTGAGTACTTCTTTTGGAAAATAAGAAAAATATTCTACCCAAACAGTATATATATGATTGTTTTTATTTGGTCATACGGAAAGAAAATGAAGATCCACTAATTTTATCTTCAACGATTGTTTATTACTAAAATATTAAATCTATGATATGTGATAGGCAGATCATGCGAAGAGGCAGCTTCACACGGAAGACCCAACAATTGATGCTCATGTAACAGGATCTGGTGCATCCAATGGTGGAGATTCAAATGGTTCTGTCTTAGCCGCATCTGATGCCAACACTGTAAAGAAACTGAAAGATGAAGACCAGCATTTGAAAGATAGGTTCGTTTTCCTCTTTGCAGATATCATGTGTTCTGCTATGCTGGTTATCAAATACAGAAAATAATTAGTATTTTGTATGGAATTAAATAAAAGATACCATCAATTCTGTGATATCAGACCTGAGACTTTGGTTGTGTTTGATATTTACCATATCGGATTGCCATTTATCACGATGCCTTCAGTCACCGGTGCTCCAGAGGGGACTCTGGGGTGCTAGTTTTAATATTCCTCTATGAAAATGCCCTACCTCGCTGTGGACCTCACCATATTTCGCCGGCAATCAGACCAGGACATATTCTGTTTCATGAGAGCACAATGCTCCATTGTGCTCTCTGCACTACAAAAGCATACCTATACGTTTGCCCTTTTGATGGAATTTTTAACACTAGTCAAAATATAGTATTCTTAGCTCGTGAAGCTCTATTTTTATTTTTTGCAGAATGAAGACATTAGAGGAAAAAGTGCGGCTTGAGTTGCAAGTTGTGAAGGACCGGAACAAATGGTTAGAGGAACAAGTGAGTCCATTAAATTTCTCGTCACTTGTTTATGGCAGGCTTATATAATCTTTATGGATTTTGTTTTTCTTTTCTCATGAAGCAAGTAAAATTGTGCATGCTAGAATTATATTCCTGCTTTTCTGATTTACTGGATGAATCTTATGCAGTTTCTTACCTGTATGATTAATTGCAAGAGAGAGTTATCTGGAAATATTTATTGCAAAAAGTTTGTGAAATGCAATCTGTTATGGGTTCAAGTCATGTTATATTATTATAAAGAGTTCTTCATTTGATAGTGATGCAAATATCCTGCAAAAAGATCATTTTTGGTTTATCATTTGGCTGAAGATGCCTTGGATGCTTAGTTGGATAGATCTTCCATTGATGGTGTAGTGCCTAGTTGCCAGTTATTGTAACACGTACTGATAGTTGTGGGCTGTGACAATTATCGTTGTTGGGATGGTACCGGTGGAGGGTTTTATCAGGATATTATCGTGTTTCTGTTTTACTTGGAAACTCATTGCATAGTCATCGAGACTTTAATATATGGAAAAAGTTTATGTTAGGTGTCATCCTTATTCTGTACGGGTAAGTTGCGCCTAAAAAACCCACTAGTGAAGGTTGTTCCTATGCTGGAAAACTCTCAAATCAATCATCGCAACCTCGAGATTCATAGACTTGAAAAAAATGGGATTTCTAGTCCTAAAAATAGTTCATCATCTAATTACATTATTTGGACCATTCATTTTCAATATTTTCAAGTCTTTATAGATCTGCTTGATCGTCACCATTTCAGGAACTTTAAATTTCATAACTGGGGGCCACAATAGATTTTCACATCCTCGCAACACTTTGTGGCACTGAAAGTGCATTTTCGTCTTATTTTTGAGGCCCACCTTACTTCAATAGTATAAGGTTGACACCTGCAAACCTCACCCCTAATATATTATTATTGTTGAAACAAATTCAATTAATAAATATGTTAGAAAGTGGAAACTGAAAGACTTCAGGCCCATCAGCCTGATCAACAACTCTTTTAAGATCCTGGCCAAAGTCCTCACATCCAGATTAAATGCTGTTTTAAATTGGGCCATCTGCCCCCATCGAGGGGCCTTTGTTAAGGACTGCCATATTCTGGATGGGGCTTTGGTGGCCCACGAGTTCATTCACTCCAGAACTATCTCCAAAACCTTGGGACTGGTCATCAAACTGGATTGGGAAAAGCCCTATAACCATGTCGATTGGGCTGTGTGCTTGAGGAAACACTCCTCAGAATGGGCTTTGGTTGCCGCTGGAGAAAGTGGATTGGAGGATGCATCCACATTCCTTTCTTTTCTATCCTTATGTTTCTTCTCCTCATCTAGGGGCCTTTGCCAGGGAGACCCCCTCTCCCCCTTCCTCATCACCGTTGTTGTCAAGTTGTTCAGCAGATCCCTTACTAGAATGTACCAACACAGACTTATAGTGGGATTCAAGAATCATGGTTGGCAGGAACTGTCCCACCATGTCCCTCTTCCGATATGCTGACGACACGATACTTTTTTCTGATGCATCAGTGCAACAAGGGGATACCCTTCTCCTCTTCCCTAAATGTTTCCACTTAGCCACAGGATTTAAGGTCAACATGGCCAAGTCCAAAATGTTAGGCATTGCTCTAGACCCCTAATCTACCGAAGCTTTTGCAGATCGTTGGGATTGCGGGGTTGACTCTATTCCATCTGCTTACCTAGGACTGCTGCTGTGCCCCGAGAAACCTAGGAAAAGTTAGTGGAGCTATATCATCGACAAGTTTCACTGTAAATTTGCCACTTGGAAGGGGAGATACCTCTCCTCCGTGGGGAGAGTCACCCTTATCAAAGCCACACTCTCTAACGTTCCCATCTTCCAACTGTCGCTCTTTAACATGCCTGTCTCGGTGGCAAAGCGCCTGAAACAATTGTTGCGCAACTTCCTTTGGTCAAGTTATGGGGAATCCAAGAAATACCATCTTATTTCTTGGCACACTGTTTGCAAAACCAAAGCCCTTGGCGGTCTTCGGATTTGTAGCCTGCAAAAGCACAATCTAATGCTATTGGGTAAATGGTGGTGGCGGTTGGCCACTCAAAGTGGTCACCAGTGGCATAGGTGCTATGCCACATGTATCACCGTAACTCCTTCCCCTGGCTTCTCCCGGACGGGGCTTACCATTCCTCTTCTGGGGTTTGGAAATCAATTCTTCGCTGCCGCAACCTGTTTAAAGCCAACTTATGCTTCCATCCTTGGGCTGGAATGCGAATTAGGTTCTGGACTAATATTTGGATTGGCCGCCAGCTTTGCTTCCCCAACCTCTATCGCTTAGCCAGAAATCCCCAATGTCGAGATCCCTGCTTCCTTGGAACTTTCTCTTCTATCCTCCATTCAATATTTTTTCCTCCCCAGGGTGAGGGCAAAATCCTCTGGTCCCCTCTCCCCTCTGGGAACTTTACAGTCTCCTCTTTCTGCCATAATGTATTGCCTCTTTGGCCGACCCCACTCCTAGCCTCTACATCATTGCTAAAGCTTGGAAAGCTTTTATCCCCACAAACATTCAGGTCTTTAACTGAGTCGCTCTGTCAGAGAGAGCCTTAATAATCGACCTACTCCAAAGATGAGACTTGCCAATCCCCAATCGATGTGCGATGTGCCTGGAGGAAGAGGAAGCAAATTCGAATATCTTCATTCACTGCATTATCAAAAGCCAACTGTGGGAATACCTACTTCAGTTATTTGGTTGGTCATGGGTGACACCTGAATCTGTCTCCCAGCTCTTCCAACAGATGTGTTTTCTACCATGGCCCAAATCCAGCACCATGCTTTGGAAGGCCTCAGTGGCGGCAACTTTTGAGGATCATATTTAGAGAACGCAATCACAATTTTCCAGGGACAAATATCCCATCAGCGGGCCCTAAAGGAGATTGTCTGGTAGATGGTGATCTTCTGGGCCACCAACGACAACCAATTCAAACTTCACTCCATGTCTGACTTCCATCTCATCTGGCTTGCCATCCTTACCACAAGCCTAGCCCAGTCCCCTGCTCGTCCCTCTGGAGACCACTGGACCCCCGGCTAGACTAGTCTTAATTTTGATGGGTGGTCTCTTGGCAACCGAGCCCGGCAGGCATTGGGGGCATCTTCAGGAATCATGATGGAGTTTCCCTCTACTCTTTTACCCTTCCCATTGGCCGAGCAAACTCCACTACCGCAGAAGCCTGTGAAGTCTTGAAAGGCCTAAAAAATCTCAACGTGATCTGGAGCAAAGTTTTGGTTGTGGAGGGTAACGCTAGAAACGTCATCTCCTGGGCCTTACGTGAGGTCACCCCCTTTGGGGACTCAGAGCAGTTTTTGATGAGATTTTTGACATTTGTAGGCATACACAGGACTTATGGAAGCGTACTTGACGAGAGGCCAACCAAGTGGTCGACGCTCTTAGCGTCTCTCTAGAGCACTAACTGCTGTTTTTCACACAAGACTTGTGTTTTGTTATATAATGATTGTATAGCATTTTTTTATTCTGCCACCATCTCGGTGGTTTTTGTATAGAGCTCCCAAGCTGTAAGTCGCCTATTTTTTGTAATATGTACACGTCTTTTACTTAACACAAAGTTAACGGATTAAAATAAATAAATAAATAAATATGTTAATAAAGTTCATAAATGACAAAGTTGAAATTAGTTTCTTATGTAAATCAAAATTGAAGTATAAAAAACTCATCATTCAATTGAACAGCTTCAACTGTGTATCCATTATCAATTCCTTGCAAATTTCTCCCCATGTGCTTTATTGAGATGTTTCGAGCTATTTTTAGGCAAATGAATTTTTTCTTCTCAAATTCAAATCAGTAACTTTTGCTTTCATACTACATTCAAGCTTATTGTTGGGAAAGTTTTTTATCGTGAAAATAATGGGATGCCCTAAATTATCATGATAAATTCATGTTATGTGGATATTATCGGAGTTTTTATCTGCAATAGAATGTATATTGACAAAATTGAGATAATTTTATATATTGGATAATAATTGTTACTAAGGTTGTGTTGTGGACAAGAGTCTAAAGTGTTCCAGATATGTTATTGTAAACATGCGGAGCACAGTTCCTAGGTTTGTCTTGGAGTTGTACTTGAAATATCAGCTGATATAACCATATCTTAGAAAATGACTACCCACCACAAAATATGGGTGATGTTTCCATGTTTTTCTGACTTTGCATCTGTGCTGTTTCTATTTATACCTACCCTTGTAGATGATTATTTGGTCATCTTCGAGATCATTGTGGAAATGTGCTTAGGTAGGTCTATGTAGTGTGGTTACAATTTAGAGTTCATGTTCGGGATCTTTATTACTTGTGTTTGTGTTTGTATGGGACATCGATCTCATGTGCTGCTTACCATGAAGTGATGGGATAAGCAACTGTCTACCAATGGCTAGTGGGGCAGTAATTGTGTAGCATTCTGTTGAATGCGAGTGTGCTCACATGCTTATATGTGTGTGTATGAGAGACAGAATATAGGCCTCACATATTGGCCTTGATACAAATTGTGTCTATTCCATTGGTACTAATGTCAATAAGATCAATTCTTCTTCTCAGCTTTCTCCTTGAAAATAAACTGTTATTTTAACTTTTCTGCCTAATATTGTCTTTTCTGTCGATCGTTACCAGCTCGCCAAATCTGAGAAAAAGCTGGAGGCAGCAAACAAAGAACAAGAAGCTCTTATTGACATTTTCTCCGAAGAGAGAAGCAGGAGAGATAAAGAGGAGGAAAATTTGAGAAAACAATTAAAGGTAGGTGTGCATATTTCTGTGTGTGAGAGAGAGATACACTGATAATCCCATGTCTGAGAGAGAGAGAGAGAGCGAGAGAGAGAGAGAGAGAGAGGAGATGCACTGATAAGTTCGATGTCTGAAAGAGAAGCCCTTCTCCGTTTGTTGCAGAATGCTCATTCTACAATATTGGAGCTGCAAGAAAGGCTACGTCCTAACATGAAAACAGAACGTTAGGGTTCTGATAATCGCATGCTCGACAATCAATGACAATTTTGGTCTTTCAACTAATCAAGACAATTGGAATTTACAATTTTGGTCAAAAGCCCTCTGTATTTTTGCAAACAGTCAATGACCACCAGGAAAAGCAATACACAACTGCGGAAGCTCTCTTACCATTTTCAGTCTTCCAGTGCCAAATGCACCAAGGAGAAACGTGAAGTAATATGTAAATGTGAGCTTTGCGTTTAGTTTAGGATCGTAAAGAGGTGTACAGCCCGGTTTGTGTATGAATCCATGCCTTTATTATTATTATCATTTGTGGTATGCACCTGATGCGTCTCTTTTCTTATTCTTCTTTTTTAGGGTTATATCGTTTTCCAACGGTACATAAATAATCAGTCCACACATTTTGGTTGACTGTCACCCAACACCCACACCCACCCGGTTTTGTAACAGGTTATGGAGCAACTTTGGATGTGGGCTTTCTTCTGTTTACTGGTGACTCTTTTGAAGGCTCCCTAATTTCTTTTGGTAATTAGTCATCACCACTGAGCATTATCCCAATTATTTAAGATTGGTCGTTGAAATTCTGTTAAATCATTTAGATGTCAATGGCCACCCCTTTAGTTAGGTTATATGTTATCATATTTTTTTCTTACTACTTTTATCCATGTTGTTTTGAGCATTCTTCTTGTCTTTTTAGAGCTTTTAATTTGAATCAAATCATCTATCCCAAATAGTTTTGTTCCATTCAATGGTCATACTTTTAGTCAGGTCATGTCACTATATTTTTTTTTACTATTTTCATCCATGTCGTTTTGAGCCTTCTCCGTGTCTTTCTAGAGCCTTTCATTTGGACCAAATCATCGGTCCTAATTAGTGATGTTCTAGGTTGATGGTTGGTGTATTTGGGCCAAACTATTCAAGGTTATCTTACCACCTATTAGAGCTACTCTTAAATTGTTTATGATGTATTCATTTTGAATTGTATCTTTTCTTGTCTTGCTACTGATTTATCTCAACATATTTACCTCAATGACACATTTTGTAAGTATGTTCTCTTGATTGCTAACTTTTTGTTACATAAGGTGTGGCTGGTCTTATAGCTATCCAATAGAACTTCTTTTTGAGTTTTATTGGCATATGTGACGATCACTCAATAGTTAATACTCTAAGAGCACCAACTTTAATTTGTTCATTTAGCTCTAATTCTATGTGTGACATCTTCCTCAATCTTTCTATCCTCTCAAATTATTGATTCAAGACATTGAAAATAATTTCTTTTAGATGCGGTTATTAATCTTATCTTATTTGTCATTTTTGCTGCTATTATTGCTTAATATATCTTGTCTTAGTTTCACTAATTTTAAGAACCTTAGATTCTAGATGGATAACTTTGTTTTGATACCATCTCTAATCTCATCAATCAAAGTTATATCATCCATTAATAACAAATGTTATGGTACATCATATTGTATGTATGCCTAGTTAACTCATCCAACTGAAATAGAGAGAAGGGTTGTGTTAGGTGAGAGGATACCATAAAACTTTTGCTACATCTATTTCGTGAATTTTTGCTTATACATATGTAGATAGCTATATGGACGGTTTATATAAGGCAACTACTTTAAATAACCAAAGTCACTTCCAAACTCTATCGGGTTCTAGTGTCATTTACTTTTATAATCGATCATATCTGATTATGAAATTAAAAGCTAAAAAATGATGCCAGGTTGGGAAAATGTATAAACACTTGAAAATATTGAATATGAATGAGCAATTTGCAGTATTTTTAAGACTTAAAATTCATTTTTTTTTTTTTAGCAATAAATTATGAATTTTTATAAGTACTAGAACAACCTTTTTCCAATGGGGCTTTCTTGCGGCTTCCGGAATAAGCTGGGGGAGAAAATGTGTATATAAAGGTGTGGGAGTGTTAGCTTTCTTGCGGCTTCCAGAATAAGTTGGTGGAGAAAATGTGCTAGAGTTGTGGATATTTTTATTGAATCGAACATCACTGTTTCTACTGAGGAATGGGTAGGGAAGAGACTTGACTATTTGCAGATAACGGATCCATCGAAACAGTACCGATATGGATGGTGCTGCAATTCGTAGTTTAGATGGTAGAGTATGAGATAAATGACCTGCTATCAGATAAATTGAAAAGGGAAAGAAACTTGTCGCTGTATATTGTCAAAGGAAAGGTTTCTATGTCTCCCTTACAGCATAGAAGATCTTTGCTTTTCCGACCGTCCAGCCGTCCAATTTTGATCAAGGGAGTCACATATTGTTTGATCTTTGATCCGATATCTCAAAGTATTTTATTTTTAGTTTTTTTTTATAAAAATTGTATGAATATAAAATTTTGCACGTGCTGTCTTCTCATTGGGGTGCACTTATAAAAAATATTAAAAATAAATTTTTGATAAAATATAATGACTAAAAGACCCCTTGAAATTTTCAGGGGTATTTTGTTCATTTTATTTCATTGGAAATATGTTTTATATTTTTTGCTAGTGCGATACAAAATTTGGTGTCCAAATAGTTGGATAAAGAGAAGTATATAAGTTTGCAATATTAGCCCTCCATTCAGAATGGATGGTTGGATAAGGGGAAGTATATAAGTTTTATGTTGTAGGAAAAGCATATAAAGCTTGCCGTATTGTCAAATGCTTCACTGACGTTGATATATTGAAGTAAATTTTCAATTATGATTGATAAGAAGATGTGTACGGGTTGTATGTACCCTTGATTCTGATTTCGTTGGCGAGTGAAATGAAAATGGTTCCAATGTCCAACACCTCCAATGATGAACAAATACATGAATATCTCGGCGCAATACACTTTTGGTATAGAAAATAACTCTCGACTGTCCATTTATAAATCGAATTGTTTATTGTTGGTATTATAATAGTGATAGGGGCGATTTTAGGTGTTCAGGTTTTTGATTGTTGATTTTCTGAAAGGAATTTTACGATATATGATCACTATAAGAAGGTTATAAGCACCTTTTTCCATTAAATATGAGATAATAACAACATGAGGTATGCCACAATTTTTTTTAAAAAAAATCATAGGCAATTGTGAACTCTCAACCGCTCAATTTCATATCAAACAATCACGTATACCGTGTTATTGTATGCTTCTCCTTTCCTCAAGTTCAAAGTTGGAAGATTTTTGTACAGGTTACATGTAGGTTCCACATAATATGGATCTAGTCAAATTTTGGATATTGGTAATTATCACTTGAATCTCAATACATGTTCAAATGTTGTATTAAACCCTAAACAATCAAAGTAAGGCGCCTAAAAATGTATTTTTATATTTAATTATAAAATTTTTAAAGCTTAAAAAATAGTATAGATTGAGTAGAACTATAAACATTTTAAAATATTGAAAATCACCGGCAAAAAATAGTGCATTACTTCGCAAACTTGAAATCCATTTTTTTCATGTTTATACATCTTGAGGTTGAGATGATCGATTTGAGGGAATTTCTTTTTTTTTTGACAAATATTCCTTACTTTATTAAAGAAATCTACTCAAAATAAATTACATCAAAAGAAATAGCTAGAGCAGGCAATGAAGCCTCACCTTTAGCAAGAGAGTCAATCAAGGAATTCGCCTTGCGATAAACATGATAAAATGAAACTGAGAGTGGAGCCACCAGATCCATAACCTGTAGCCAACTAGACTTCAGTTTCCAAGAAGTATGCAGCTCCTTCTTGTACCATCTAATTGCATTCAAAGAGTCCCCTTCAATAATGCAGCTACTCCCAAGGTTTCTAGAGATAAAAGTTTTAATTCCTTGGAGCAAAGCCAATAACTCCGATTGGTTAGATGTGGCTAAACCGATAGGGCCAGCATATGACAAGATGACCTCTCCAAAATAGTCACGCAACACACCCCCAATGCCTGCCAAACCTAGATTACCTAAAGAAATTCTGTCAAAATTTAACTTAAAACCCCTACTCTCTGGTGCCACCCAATTACTCATGGGTCTCATCTTTACTCTATCCATAAAAAATAGATTTGGTAAATTCAACATAACATCTGGTTGTGAAATCCCCTAACCCTCAGTAACTGAAAACCCATCACCAAATAAACAATTTGACTTTACTGAGCAATCTATCAAAAGATAGACTCTCTCCCTCAAAAGTCCGCTTATTTCTTTCCTTCTAAATTTCCAACAACAATGCCCCTCTCACTATTTGCCAAACCAAAATACCCATGGAAGGTAAATAATTCTAACTGTGACACTGTACCCATAATGGAATAGGGCAGTGAAGCATGAACCCCAAGTAAAACAAATAACCAAAGCCAAAGTCTATAGGTAATGTGGCACTGGATGAATAGATGATCTCCAGTTTCCTCATCTGCTTTGCACAACAAACAAATGTTAGGTAAAACTTTACCCCCCTTAATCAAATTATCCACTGTCAAAGTTTTATTTTGGATAGCTAACCATAAAAACACCTGCGCCTTATGGGGGACATGTCATTTCCACACTTTGGCTGCAGTAGGTAAAAACCATCTCCATCTATCGTGGAAGAAGAGCTTATAACAAGACTTGACCAAGAAGGCCCAATCACGTTCAACTTCCCAAATCACTTTATTCATAGTCCCTTGGGATATATAAACCTACCCATCAAATATTTTCCATTGAATATAAGTACCTTCACTCAGCCTATTATATGGGACATTAATACTCCAAGCAACACAGAAACCACTCACTTCAACCATATCAAAAACCTTAGCATTAGGTTGCGAAACCTTAGCAAAACGTTTTGATTAAATAAGCTTCATAGGAGAATCACCTATCGACTTATGGTGCCAAAAGTAAATATTATCACCACAACCAACATACCAACGAAAGTAACTCGCAATCATAGATCTGCACATGTAAAAGGGCTTCCACAAAGAAGACATCTCGTTAATACTACCCCCTCATAACCACAATTCTTGCCTATCCTGGCCATATTTTGAGGATAAGACCTGAAACCAAAGCTGATAAGTATACTGAAGACTTCTCCACCACTATTTAGAAAGCAATGCCTCATTAATATATTTTAACTTTCTAATGCCAAGACCACTTTCACACTTAGGGGTACAAACACGATCTCACCTAAGTCAATGATATTTTTGTTCTTCTACAAAAGTACCCCATAGAAAATTACACATCATTTTTTTCAATTTTCTTTATGACTGAGGTTGGCATATGAATAAGAGAAATCAAATAGATTGGTAAATTCACTAAACAAGAGATTCACAAGTAACCCTACCACCCCAAAGAGAGGTATTTCGGTTTTCAAAGATCGAACTTCATTTGGAATCTCTCTATCCCCTTATCTCAAACTGCAATAGAATGCTTAGAATCTGAGAGTGGTATTCCCAAGTAAAAAAAAGGGAAGGAGCCCACCAAACATCCCAAAAGATTAGCCAAAGATTGAGTCAAAGCCAGAGGACAGTTATTTATGATGCAAATCAGAGAGATCTTCAAAGGAAGATCCCTCATATCTGAACACCTCAAATTGATTTTAAAAGATTGATAGAGAATGGGACAATTAAATTCTTATCTGAGGCCATATTTATTAAAAAATGAATAGATCTGCTCTCAGATTAGTGGCAGAGCCATCATCGATCCAAAAAGCACAAAAGGCTGAATAAAATAAAATAAAATCCTAGATCTAACAAAATAACTAAAAAAAATGAAGGAAAAGATGATGAGAAAAAAAATACCTGGTTGGGCTAGTCAGCCCGACAAACCCAAGGCCTCGCTCGTATCAGGACCGCGACGACTATGTTTATATCGAGGATTTTCTTTATATGGCTTCAGCTTTTGACCAGGCTTGGGGATGGATCTCTTAATCTAAGGGCTGCAGCCTAAAGCTTAGGTTTTCTAGGCCTAGGGGATGGATCTCTTAACCTAAGGGTGGCAGCCTAAAGCTTAGGTTTTCCTAAATCTAGGATTTGCTCACAGGTTCTCTCTGGGCTATCTCTATCTCTCTCAGATTTTTTTGGCTATTGCGTCCTAGGTTTCACCTCCTTCTCATGCTTGTTTTCTCTCTCTTAAAGACCTAATAGGGATGTAGAAAAGATAACTACTAAAAACTATGGGATTTGCTAGGCGTAGAATGAATAACTGCTAAAACCCTGGGTGTTGAATGAATAACTACTAAAAACTATGAGATTTTCTACATGTAGAATGGATAACTACTAAAACCTGGGTGTGGAATGGATAACTACTAAAAACCACAAGATTTGCTAAGTGTGGATCATAGGATGGGGACTATGGATTGTGACGGTCTATGGTTTAGGGGTCCACTGAAATAGTGTGGTCCTATGGGTTCAGAAAAACCATAGAATTTCCCAGTTTTAAAATGAGGTATCTATAACAGTTAATCCCTATCAAAGACGTCTTATGGAAATTGATCTTCATTTCCAATCCACCTCATAGCAATAGAAAAAACATGCAATGTTTTTAACTTGCAACTCATTTGCTTCACAAAAAATAAGAGTATCATCTGTGTATTGCAAATGAGAGACTTTAAGGCCCATCTCAGCCACCATAAAACCAGAGAAATTACCACTACCTTCCACTTTTTGAATCATCAGACTAAAGCACTTTGCATAGATGGAAAAAAGGAATGGTGACATGGGATCCCCTTGGCGAAGACCCCTGGACGCCTTAAAGAAACCAGTAGGACTTCCCTTAAAAAACACAGAGAAATGGGCAGAGGATACATCCAAATAGCCAACTCCTCTATTGTTTCCTAAAACCTATATTTTTTAGAATTTTCAAAAGCACTCCCCATTCAACTTTGTCATATGCTTTTTCCAAATCAAGTTTGATAAATAACTCCACGAACTTGACTTCTCACTCTAGAATGAATACACTCTTGAGCCATCAAAATACTATCAGTGATTTGATGATTCTATTAGAGATAAGGGAAGGTAAAACTTGCTTCAATCTTACAGCCAAGACTTTTGCCACAATCTTATAACGACTAGTCAAAAGACTGATGAGCCTAATATCAGATAACTCTGCAATCACTGATTTTTTAAGAGTAAGAGCTATATAAGTGGTATTAACCCCTTTGAATATTTCACCCCTGGTCATAAAAACTCTAACCATCTCTAATAACTCAACCATAATCAAGTTATAAAATCTATGGAAGAAAGATGGGGGAAAACCATCTGGGTACGGAGCCTTATCACTATGTAAAGCAAAAACAGACTCCTTAAGTTCTTCTACAAAAATGTCGCACTCCAAATTAGAGCTCGACTCCATTGACATAACTTTAAAAGGCACCCTTGCCAATTTTGGAGTGAACTTCACATCTGACGAGAAAGCCTTCTTAAAGTGGTCAATAATAGCCCCTTCCATTGAAGCATTATCATCTATCTCAACACCAGAGATTTTCGACATCGAAATAACCTCTTCTAATGAATTGTTGAGGTCCGCCTTAATTTGATTGTTTAGGGCCTCAACCTTATATAAAAATTTTCCTACATGAGAGGATCTGGTTTTGGTGAGTCCTCCGACTCCCTGATTTTTTAGCTTTCCTTTTCCAATATTCATCATAAAGATGAACTTTTTGGATCAAAGTTTTAAGGGATTTATAATAATATGAAAAACATATAAATTTCAAAAAAATTGAAAGTGTTTTTTACACTCCCCGTTTTGAATTTTGATTCGGTGACCCGCCATTTCTAAAATGAGCATTTGATGATCAGGGACGCCTTGAATACTTCCCCCGTATAAAAACGATGAGCATCACGGGATCATTTACTTATAGGAAAATTGTTTCATGCGAGCTAGACCATATTTCTATATATGTGGTCCAGAAAGTGTAAAGTATCTATCTTAAAAATGGATGCAAGTAGGTGTTCCATCTAAAAACAATAGAAGCTAAAAGTCCAAATATTTTCTTATTAGAATTTTAGTTTTTAAAATTCATTTATTTATTCATATTCATGATCTCCATGTTAGAGATTACATGTCCTAAAAAATTAAATCTTAAAATCCATCTCAAAAATAGATTTATTAAGAGGCCCGCATTTCTACATATGCGGGTTTAGCCTCATAGAAACCGGATCCTTACCTATAATGCAAGGAAGTTACAATCATCCAATCTGTTGTGTAAGAAAGTTGATAGATTGGGGGGTCACAAAAATTGATAAATTTTGTTTTGGATTTTGAGCGTAGTCAACAACACATCTTCATCCGATCGATTTTATATCTAATCTAATGGCAAAGAGTGAGTATAATCTTGCTCTGAACACAAATAATCTTCTTGTATAGTTTTCTTTAGGAAAAAGTTTATATAAGATGTCAACCTTACACTTAAGAAGTAAGTTGCACCTTCAAATTTTATGATGGTATATAATTTTGATGTAAAATGTTATTAGGATTATCTAAAAATAGATTTTTATAAAATTTTAAATTTGAAAAATAGTTAAAATCAAGTAGATCTATAAACATATAGAAATCTTGAAAATGGACGGTGTAGATAATATGCTGTAAAATGCATTATTTCTGAGACTTAAATTTTTATAATTTTTCATGGTAATACATCTGGACGATCAATCAAAGGGTTTCTCAACAATAAAACTACCTTTTTTTTTCCCATGAATTTTTTAGGTGCATCCGATAGTTCTACATTTATAAGGTTTCATCCTTATATAAAAATTTTCCTCATGTGAATCATATGAAGAACTTTCGCCCCATTTTCGACGACATTGAAACAACACCCCAATCCAAGAAGCTGCCTGAGATTTTACGTAGTTCTCATACGACTGTTTTTTTTTTTTTCCACAAATTGGGAAACGGGAACTCGAACTGATGTCTAACACTGACCTGAAGGCTAATTAGAATGTGTGTGGGTGTGGGCTCACAAAACAACCTGGACTTGCAACTTGTTGAGGAGAATCCGGTTAATAACTTGACTACGACGCTCCTCTCTCTAAAATCCTTAGCACGTCAACGCAAGCCTTTTGGGGCTGCGATAGCGGGCTCTGTAGCCGTATTCGAAAGGGCTCTCAGTTTCTCTCTCTAAAACAGTGGAATCTCGTGTCCTCTCTCTCTCTCTCTACCTCAGAAAGAAGCCAAGCCGCCAATGGGAGACGTCAACCCCTACAGCTACTTAAAATTGTAAGAGATAAATAGTGTCAATCAGAGGAGTGAGAAACAAAAGCCCCCACATGTCTTTATTAAGCAATTATGGCCCCCCTCGGTGTCTCGAGTCATGAGAGCTCGTATCCCAACCAATATATACACTCAAAACTTTCGTCGAAATATTGCAAATCCAAAATGGTTCACAACTACAAATAGGATTACTGCTGTTAAAATAATAATAAAAGAAAGAAAGAAAGAAAGAAAGAAAGAATTATTCGGATTTCAGAGAACACCAGAAGAATTTCTATTATATCCGACACACATTACAGTTTTACACACCTAACTCTATGATCCTAGGCTCTTAATAACATCTCTCTCTCTCTAAGGAAAAGAAAAATCTCTGCAACATTCCACACTCCCCAATACAAAAAGGCAAAGCGAGTAACGCAGCCCCCTTCCCCACTAACTCGAGGTCGCTTTTGCCAGACGCTAAAACCCCCACAACCGCCATTAATGGCTGGATCTCTAACCCGTGAACTCGCAAAAACAAAAACTATTCACAAACAGAGACCGTCAGTCACTCATCAATTCCCATTCCCTCCCACTCTTCAATCAATGTACCAACCCCCTCTTACACCTGAAATTCTTTTCTTCCTCTTTTCCGCAAACCCATTATTGCCTCTTTTATTTACACCACCAGGAAGCTCATTTGCCCATTTGCTGTTGAACAATGAAGACACATTCTCCAAAGAAGGAAGGAAAAAAAAATTGCTAAATCCAAACCCAAAAAAGGGGCTAATTCCACACCCAAGTTTTCAGTAAACCCACCCATCCCGTACATCAATGTCACTCTAATGGAGGCTCGAGTCTAGTTACTAATAAAATTGGGTAAAAAACAGGGCCATGAGAAAATTTACAGGTTTTTCATGTTGAGTGAGTCCACATAAGAAGGGCAATAATAAAGTTTATATTTAGGATGAGGGCCTTCTGTACTTACTGTCAAAATTAGGTATTAAAAATGAGACCCCAAAAGGAAATATTTGTTTTGTTTTTGTATTTTTTTTAATTTTGAAGAAGGAAAAAAAGAGGGAATATTTAGGGTTAGGGTTATCAGTGGCAAACGACGGAGGAAACAGAGAGAGGGTAGCGATAAGTGTTGGCGTATTGGAAAGAGAGGCTGGAGCCAGGGGCTAGAGGGCCGCCATCGTTGAGGAGGCAGTCGTTGTAGCCTAAGCGCCTGAATGTGGATGGGTTAACCATGCGGGCCGAGCTGAACCATCCGCAGGCGAGATGGATGGCTGAGATTGGGTGGCCAGATGCGCACACGTTAAGGACCTGGACTGTGTAGGTGGGGATGCCGCTGGGCAGGGGGGCGGTGGGGCCCTGGTAAACGACTATGTCCTCCTTCGAGCACGAGTCATCCACGCGATCTGGCAATTCCTTTCCTCCTGTTTACAGAGAGAAGAAGGTGTCAGACAAAGAAAGCAACCGCCCCCCGAAACTCAAAACCATAAGCATAAGCATAAGCATAAGCATAAGCATAAGCGGGAGAGAGTGTGATAGACTTGAAATTTAGTAACAGGTAGAGAGAGAAAGAGAGCTATCGGATACAGGGACAAACAAATAAGTATGACAAAGACCCTCAAACTCCTCGTAAGAATTGTGTCGCCCTACAGTTATAGAGAGAGGGCGACTGTATGCCGCTTCTTATTCCAACAATGGCCCAGAATTCCCACGTACATGCTCAAAAGTACCAAAACTATTCCAGAAATACCAAAGAAGCCCAACCCTGAGATGGGGTCACCCCAGAATGCTTGCGGGGAAATTTATACACGGATCCGAATGTTGATCCGTTATAACGAAATAGGACGTTATTACCCTTGAGTGATAATGGAAGTTGGATTTGATGAATGGAAAGGTCACCATAAACAGAGAAGGAGGCTGAGGAATGGAAACGACGTTATTTTTACGAAGTCCTAAAGGAGCTCCACAAAGAAGCATTCATTCCCAGTGTTATATCATTGGGCCCCTTCCACCATGGCTCCCCGCACCTCCAACCCATGAAGCAACACAGGCGTCGTGCGCTCCTCCACTTCCTCCATCCCTCGGTGCACCCTCTCCAAGTCTATCGGACGGGTTCCAAGCCCAGCGATCCCGACGGCTATTTCCTGTTTTAACGCTCAAGGGGACGTCCACCGAAAAAGGGATGGAAGGTTAAAGACAGCCGTTCATAACATCGGATCGAGGGTAAATTTGTTCAAAAAAAAAAAAGACGAGATTTCGGCCTTTTTTTTTTTATAATAAAAAAGCCTTTTTTTTTTTTTTAAAGCATTTCATTACCACGGATCAATAATCCGATCGGTACCTAGATTTCTTTAGAATAAATGCAAGAATTTTGAACTACTTGAGAAGCTGAGGGGACAAATGTTGCTCTAACGAATCCCAACCGTCAATTTGAACATATTTTTTACTTTTCATATCCAAAAGATTTTTCAAAGTATTACTTTATCGATTATCATTTGGTGGCAGAGAATGGAATGAAATGAAAACGAAGAAGACGTTGGGAGCTCGAAAGGGGCATTTTCGTAAAAGTTTTAAAAAATTACTCCTTGAGAGGAAGGCAAGAAGGGTATTATTGTCAAATATGGGGGAATATTCTGGACACGCTTAGAGGTGGCATCGTACTACAAACTTTAGGGTTTGAGGAAGCACGTCCACAACGGACTGTGAAACACAAAAAGCGTCGGAGTAGTGGTCGAGAGAAAGGCAGAGAGAATACCAGAAGAAGAAGAAGATGCGTGAGGAGGGGTGTGGATGATGCGAAGCAGCTTTCGGTGGTAATGAATACTGCTCCTGCTTCCACCCTCAACCTTCTCCTCCACTCTGTGCAGGGACTTACTGCCTGCACCTGAAAGTTCCATACATAACAAACCGTGAGAATCACCTTTTTCAAAAACACAACCGCATTTTCTTCACCGAATTCAAATATATCCCTAGATAACCTCCAAACCTCGAGCAATTTGGTAAAAACTGCACTAAGCTCATAACCTCTCTCTCTCTCTCATATATGAAGAGCATGCCTTACTTGCTAAATTCAATCCAAAATAATCTCCAATCATCTCATGCCATAAAATTTAAGTATACTGTTAAAATGTACTCTCCAATACGTAGTATCTCTCTCTACATAAATAATCAGACAAAAAGATAGTTATCTGATTTCTACTCAAATCAATAATTCAAAGGTCCTCTATTAAAAAAAGTGAAGGTATATAATGAGACCATTTACCTTGGTACAAGGTCGTCACAATTATTTTTTACCACTAGATGTGAAATTGGGTATTTGTATTTATTTCATTGACCAAGCTTAAAATTCAAAAAAAAAATTTTCAATCTTTGTGACACACCCAAACTATCAGATTTCACATCTGCTTATTGTAAGTAATTGTCGTGGAAAAAATATATGGTATCATTGTATACAATCCCTTTAAAAAATGCTCATTACCAGTGATCTTCTCTCTCTCGCGATTTGATTTCATCTTAAACCAATAATTGAAGGTGATCAAGTAAAAAAATTGCTCATATGCCCATAATCCTCTCTCTCTCTCTCTCTCTCTCTCTACAATGACATAACTACACACGTAAGAATGATACAATAATACGTAATTAACTAACCACTACGTTACCGAACCGTAACTACGAACGAACGAACGAACGAA